CATAACCTGCAAACACAATTTAAATATAATTTGCTATTTACAAAACATAAAAAAAATCATGCCCAACTTTTTTGCTGTAGACGGACACAACACCTTTATTTATTTATTTTTATGTGGTGTTGAGAATAGATTCTAGTGCCTCACACATGCTAGGCAAGTACTCTACCACTGAGCTACAACCTCAGCCCTACATCCAACTATTTTTTTTAAATGTTTATTTAGTTGTAGATGAACACACAGTATCTTATTTTTATGTGGTGCTGAGGACTGAACCCAGTGCCTCACAAGAGGCAAGCACTTTACCACTGAGCTACAGTCTCAGCCCCCACTATGTCCAACTTTTAATGTATGATTCCATTTGCACTTTCACAAAAAGAATCACATTCAAGACCAAATGTGTTTTTCATGGCAGCATTAACAGAAATATTTCAGGAAGGAAGTTCAAGCCTTGTCTTGGGGCTTTAATTTCCCCCAATTAAATACTTCCTTTTAGTCCTAAGCCTAAACCACTGGAAATTTGTATAATGTGATATGTAAAAATTAACATCAAGATTTATATTACCCTCTTGAGTGCAGAGATTAGATTTTATTCATCCTTATATTTTCAGTGTCTGATAAACTAGAGAAGTTTTAATACGTGAATATTTTTCTTGAGCAGAATAGAGAAATGAAATTCTACTTTGAAAAAACTCCTAAAAACATGCAATTGTTACAAGCATAGGAAATGTTATTAATTTTAGGGCTTATAAATTAAAATGACATTTCTTTCTTTTTCTTTTTATACTAGGGATTGAACTCAGGGGGCACTTAACCACTGAGCCACATCCCTAGTCCTCTTTTGTATTTTATTTAGAGACAGGGTCTCAGTGAGTTGCTTAGGGCCTCACTAAGTTATTGAGGCAGACCTGGAACTTGCAGTCCTCCGGCCTCAGCCTCCTAAGGCACTGGATTTATAGGTGTGCGCCAGCTTCTAAGTAATAAAAAATTCTTAAAAAGTTTTCTAAGTTTCAAGGACTACTGCTGCTATCAGCAATAATCTTGATTTTTTTTTTCAGTCTGTATTGAACCACATTACTACCCAATTGCTTCCAATCACATATTGGATAGAAAGTCAAAACAGGGTAGTCGTGTTGAAGGAGGTGGCCTCTTAGGGAATCTGGTTCTGAAAGTTAAAAACTTTACTCTTTTGGATTAGTAATATTCAACCCCGAAATTCAATTTTTTTGGATAATGTGATTATCCAAATAATTTGGGTACTAGTAGGGATCTGAGCAGTAAATTTTTAATATAGTCTAGAATTGATCAGTTTTGAAAGAGATTATCTGGGCCTTGAGGACTTTCCTTTTTGATTGTCAGTGAGGTTTACTTACCCAAAAGGTTTAAAGGATTGCTAAGGAGAGAGGAGTCCTGGACTTAAAAAATCAGAAATGATGGGCTGGGGCTATAGGTCAGTGGTAGAGCACTTGCCTAGCACCTCTGAGGCCCTGAGTTCGATCCTCAGCACCATGCAAAAATAAATAGAACAAAGGTGTTGCGCCAAAAAAAAAAAAAAAAGAAATTATAATTGAAAGCTTCATACATGTATAGATGGAATTTGATCAGTGAAGACCTTACTAACATTTTTGAACCTATATGTGTGGTAAGGCCACTGCTTTACAGAAGTGCTAACAATTCACTTATGATACTAGGGTGGGCTTGCCTTGACCATATAAAATGCTAGTTGATCCCCACACTGGGATGTGTATCATCATTAAAAGGTATGTAATTTTATCCAATATATGTTTCTTTAGACTGGTCATTCCACTGGGAAATAATTCATCAGTCTCTTTAGCAATTATTTCAAGATTTGGTCTCTTACAAAATGAATTAATTTATGGGTTTAGTCTCTTCATTCCCTTCTTTTGGCAATTAACCAAGACATTATTTTATATTAATTTTTTAAACAGAACTCTAGTCGCTTTATTCTTCAAAATTGTAACATTTTTCTACTATCTATCAAATTAAGTAAAACAGCCTGACATTCAGTGATTTCCACAAAAAATTGCCTGATTTTTTTTCTGATATTTTTCCTATATACTATATACTTGTTTCTATATACTATAGGAACAAGATCATTTCTCCTGTAGGTTCTGGTTATTAGGCAATAGTGGGTTAGTACTAAGTGGGTTGTTGTCCCAGAAGAAGGAACAAAAGAAAACCAGCTCCCCATCCTCACTCCAACAGAGATGATGGGATGGGAAGTAAACACCGCACTACCATCTTTCTGAAACAGATCTGTCATGCTGTTGTCATGTAAAATCATTACACTTGGTTATTTTAAAACCTGGATCTATAGACCAGGATGTGCTAGAATTTCAGACTTCTATGAACTTGGACTGGGGGAAAAAAAGGCATATTCATTTTTAATTTTCTTCAATAAGTACAGGCAATAAATTAGAGTAGTATTAACAGTTTCTATGTCTTTGTCACCAAAATTTAATTTATATTCATCACTACTTTGAATTATATAATTAGGCCTGCTGCTGGATGATATTTAATGCACAGAGAAGTGCATGTGTAACTATACCACACATTTAAAAAATATTTTGAAGACTTTCAAAAACATTGATTTCCTCTTTATGTCTATGTATTTTACTTTACACATCTAAAAGAATTTTTTAAAAAATATTTATTTTTTGGTTGTAGTGGACACAAAACCTTTATTTTATTTATTTATTTTTATGTGGTGCTGAGGATCAAACCCAGGGCCTTGCACGTGCAAGGCAAGTACTCTACCGCTGAGTTACAACCCCAGCCCCTTAAAAGCATTTTTGAGGTCTGTTCCCAGATCAGATGGCCAGAGAGACCCAGACTGTAAAAGAGGTTAGGCACCTTTGTATTTATAACTATTAATTGCTTATATTATCTAAACTCTTGGGCATGGAATTCACAGCTCATAATCTGTTATACCCACTTTACCATTCTCGTCTCTTCCCTACCTCTACTTTCTATACTATGCTCTAGCCATATTAGACAACATCAATGCTTCTTAGCTGGTGGCAGATAGACAAGTTTTTGGGTTAATACTAGCTAATAGAGAGCCACCATGCTGTTTTGGGCTTTACCTTATATAACTCTTCTTTGCCAAGTGTATTCTTCTTTGTCAAACGGTCTGTTTCCCCTAATACTTGGTGATCCTAATAGGATTATATTTTAAATATCAAATCTTGTTCCTAACTTAAACGATTAATAATAGTAGACACCCCTCTAAATTTGCAAGGCACCAGGTGAGTGGATGTTGGTCAACCCCAGAATCTCATAAATTGGCTTAACTCTGATGCAAGAAAGGGAAAGAAAAGACAGCAGTAACTGAGGCAGACTTCATTTAAGATTGAGGGATGGAACTCTGCTGAAAGGAAAGGCAGGCATAGATCCGCTCAGTTCCCAGAGCAGTTATTCAAAACTTTCAGCACTCTGCTCAATCCTCTCATTCTATTCTCAACTCTGTTGTCAAATGACCCCCATCTTCATGTTACAGAGCCAACTCCCCCAATTTCCTACCCTTCCCTACCTCTCATTTTCTCTTCTCTATTTTGATGGATGGCAATCCTCAATATTAGTCATCTGGGGAGGGTTAAAAAAATTCTGATTGCTGGCCCTTACAGTTTAATTGGTCTAGGGTGAGGCAACTAAAAAAAAAAAAAAAAATGCTTTCCAGGTGATTCTAAAGAGTACACAAGGTTTTTGGCTGGGGTTGTGGCTCAGAGGTAGAGCGCTTGCCTCACGTGTGTGTGAGACACTGGGTTCCATTCTCAGCACCGCATATAAATAAGTGAATAAAATAAACGTTCATCAGCAACTGAAAAAATACATAAAAGAAAAAAGTACCAAGGTTTAGTTCACTAGGTTTCTTGATACATTAGTCTTCTTCATCCTTTGTTTATGGTTCAATGGTACAATTTAATTCTTAAAAAAAAATCCCATCTTTAAAGAAAACATTATTGGGGCCCACATTATGGTTCCTAATTTGTCTCCTTTAAGATAAACCTTATAAAAGGGGTAGTTTAAAAGGAAGTCTACACCAATATGGTTTTCGCCAATTATATCCTAATCCCCTTTTACTCTTCCAGGCCTGTCACATGTTTTGTAACAAACTTTCCACTTGTACCAACCCCCCCCCCCCCCATTTCTTTTACAAGCTACTGCTCACTAGTCTTTTAACACAGTTCTTTGAGTCACCCAAAGGTCACCTGGGAAAAGTCATCCTCTATAAACAGGGGTCCATCGTCTGTGCTCAGACACCATCCTGTATAATTTTACTGTGCTACCATTGTGGAATCATCGTCTGCAGTTCGAAGAGCTGAGTATTTCTTTCACGTCCGACTTTGAACTTAAAGCATGGAAAATACTGAAAGAAAAGCCTGAGGAATGAATGGAAAGGAACGGCAGGAAAGGGAGGCTGGAGGCGGGGACAAATGGGGGAGGGGGCGTGCCTGTGTTGGGGGCGGAGGCTATGACGGGCGGCGTTGAGAATCTAGCGGGAGCACAGGAGGGGGGAGATACACTAGTTTGGGTGGAGGACAAAGCGATCCACAACCGGGACAAACTGAGACAAACCGAAGTGGGGAGCAGGCTTCTTACCTGCCTCAGGCCTCACCACCCCAACCAGCCTTCAAGCACCTCAGTATTGGCCGGAAAGCGAGAGCTAAGGTCGCAAACCCAGAGTTTCTTTCCCCACCCTTGCGACATTCCTCTCTAGTGGAGGCAGAATGTAACTGAGTTCCTAGTCCTGCCGTAAGGTGAGGAAGAAAAATCTAGGCGGGGCTGCCCGGGGAGGAGGACATAGGGCGTGTCTGCGCAAGCGCAGTTGTGCGTTCTGGCGTCGTCACGTGCGGGGGCGGGGCCGGGCGGAGCCGGCCCAGGCTGGCAGTAGGGGGCGTGGGAGTTAAGTGCGCGCGCGCCTGTTCTCCTGCAGCCGAGGAGTCGCGCGGGGCGGGGCCGCGTGCGCGGGGTCGGGGGCGCGCGGGCCGAAACGGACTAGGGACGCGGCGGCGGTTGGTGGTGGCCTTAGGAGAGTCTTGCCCGGATTGTGAGAGGCGGCGGTGGAAGCACTCTCCGCACCAGCAGAGGCGGCGACCCCGACTGAGGCGGCGGGCCAACGCGTGCTCTCTGGGCGGGGTGCGGCGGGGGATGTGCCTGCCCCAGCCGGGCGGAGTCTCTCTGACAGGGCGGGGGATGCGCGGCGGCCGCTCGCCCGGACCTTGAGGCAGTGGGCCCACCCTCGCGCAACGGTCCGACCCTCGGTAGCCTTGGCTCCTGCTGCCTTCTTTGGCCAGACCCTGGGGCAGAGGGTGGGAGGCAGCTTCCGCCCAGGAGGAGGGAGCTGTGGTGGCCACCGCGGCGCAGCCCGAGGTAAGACCCGCCCCAGCGGCCCTGCCGCCGAGCCCGGCCCACGTCCCAGTCTCGCTCTTTGGCTCCCGCTGGGCCGCCCCGCCCCAGCGGAGACGCCCCACGAACGGGTCTGCCTCGGAGCCTTATTGACTCCTGATCTGGGCCGGGATTCCCCAGAGACCCAACCCCTCGTATCTATCATAGGCTAGACCCCGGTTGGTTTTCCAGCCTCAGCCGCAATTCTGTCACCATTCCCCATCCGCGCCTACCCGGTCAGAACCCCCTCAGACTTCCAGGACTCAATATTGAGTCTGCAGACTTCATTATGCGGGACCCGATCGTAGTGCCCGAGACACGGCCACTTCCTAACCAATTGCGATCCCCAGCTCACAGGTTTCCCAGATAGGTCGCTGCCCCCGCCTTCACTTTTTAATAGGACTCTCCCATCCCCTCCGCCCAGTTGGCATACTGTCTAGCCACCTAGCACGTCCCCTACCCATCGGGGCTTTCGGACAGCTTGTGTCGGGATGCTCTCACCTCCAGTAGATTAGGGTCAGCCCCTCTAGACACCATCACAGCTTTGGGTCTCCTTTATCCGCTGTTATAGTGTCTCCCAAACCTTATCTTTCTTCCTGTTTGCGATCCTTTTTTTTTTTGATTGAAAATGCTTTGCCTCCAAGTCCTGATTTAGTCTAGAATATTCCCCCAGTGAGACTAAGGGGACCGAAGTGAAACCCATGTTTGGAGGGTTTGTTCTCGCCACTGAAAGTGGAGGGAGAGGAAAGATTATCTATCGAAGCACAGGACATGCCGTGTGTGCCATTATAAGGCCGAACACCCTGCTCCTCATATTATTTCGTAGAACTAAAGAATTAGTATTGATCTGAGACTTTATGGGCTTCTATAAGGATTAAGTCTTATTACACCAATGAATATATTTTTTCCATGTATCATCTACATTACCTCCTTGTAGATTTCTACAGATATTTTATACTAGTTTTGAAAGATGTTAGGGGACTTTTTTTTTAAATTTTCTGTTTTTGAATTGGCTGAGGAAATATTTCTATCCGTCCTTAATCCCTGAAAACTTTAGTATCATACTAATAATAATTTTCTTCTACCTGGCATTGCTGTCTTCTCTAAGGAGCAAGTGCAAAAGTCATGCAATGGGACTGGGGATATAGCTCAGTGGTAGAGCGCTTGCCTAGTGTGTGTGAGGCACTGGGTTGGATTCTCAGCACCACATATAAATAAATAAAGACCTATCAACAGCTAAAAAAAAATTTAAAATAAAAAATGTAATGTTTATTGTGTCATTACTAAAAGCTTTATCAATAATAGTAAAATATTGAAGGTTCTACTCCTGAGCTGTCAAGAAGGAAATACAGTGTTGCATCAAATGATCAGTCCATAATTTTAACTTTTAAAGGGATAAAGGATAAAAAACTCTTTGTAGTCGCTACTTTAAAACTTTGTGTGTATGTGGACAGAGAGGGAGAAAATCATATTGAAATTATGGGTAATAAGTAGACCTAGTATAAATGTCAAAAGGTTCCGGAGAGTAGTGTAGTAGAATGGTTCTCTTCCTTCTTAGTTCTCTAGCCACCCACTTTTTCCTTAGAACAACCTCTTTCCGGCTTCTCGTGTATCCTTCTTGTGATATTTCCAGCATTTACAAGTTCATATGGTATATTAAGACACAACACACATAAGTGATTGCATACTATACACTTTGTGTATAGCTTGTTTTTTTCCACTTAATTACTGGATCCTAGAGATAATTTGATAGACGTATGGATATCATTTACTGGCTGGATAGCATTCCATTTTGATGAACTTGAGGTCTTTTGCTTTTATAGAAAATACTGCACATTTTTAAATATATCAGTTATATGTATGTTTTAATACATGAAGTGAAAAAAATTCCTGTTTCTTTTGTGTTGAACCTACATAAAAGGATATAAGTTTCTGATTGAATCTCTGAGCTACAATAGTGTGACTACTTTTTGATATTTAATTTAAAAATCAAGGATTTAAAATTGGTGACTGAAATTATCAGATATGCATTTTTTTTTTTTTTTTAAGTCACTGACTTCATGGGCTGTGGTTGTAGCTCAGTGGTAGAGTGCTTGCTTCACATGTGTGAGTCACTGGGTTCAAGTCTCAGCACTGCATATAAATAAATGAATAAAGTAAAGGTCCATCAACAGCTAAAAAATATTTTTTAAAAAAAGTCACTGACTGCAGTGACTAGGGTGGACTGAAGACTAGAGTAGGCTTAAGCTTTAATATCAGGAGGGTAATCCAGACAAATGATGATAATGGGTCTGAACTTGGGACTGAACTTGGTGATTTAATTGGATTCCAGGTTGGGGAGAGTGTGTAAAGATTTCTCCCTGTGCCTTTCAGTGAGGTAGGGAGCCACATAAAGGAGTGAGATTTTTATTTTATCAAAGAGGGACAGAGGGGTTCACATTGTGGGATGTTAAGTTTGGTTGGATGTGGGTCCTTCAGGTATAGATGGTCAGTGGACAGGTGGATATGTGGCTAAAACTTGCAGTTAACAAGTGCTGAGTTGGTAGTGATAAATTTTGGAGACAAAAGCTTATAGATAAAAGGAGAAAAGGTTTAGGACAGAAAACTAACATTTAAAGTGCAATATTTTAATATATATGTTTAAAATTTTTAAAAAGCCTTATTGTAGGTTAAGCATCAGTAGTGAAATTCACTATATATGATGTTTTAACATATTTTCCTCTTAATTTAGTGGTGTGTACTTAGGAAAGTAGAGAAAACTTAGTTTTTTTTTTTTTGTTGTTTTTTTTTTTTTAAATGGGGAAGGTTTTTGCTACGTTGTCCAGGCTAGTCTTGAACTCCTGGGCTTAAGTTGTCCTCCTGCCTCAATCACCTGTGGAACTGTGACAACCAGTGTATTCCACTGTGCCTGGTTCAACTTAGGTTTTTTTAAAAAATACAAAAACTTTAGGAGAAATTAGTAATATAAACACCTTCTTTCCTAATCATTTGGAGTATACTATGTAGTTGTTTAACTTTTAATATTTGCAAAGAAGTGCAGGAACTTTGAAAATATACTTTGCCAAGAATGTTAAGGTTTTTAATTTGAATGATGTTTTAGGTGTATTAACTTAGTTTGAAGTAAACATTGAAGACTTTTCCAACATCTTTAAAACACAACCTTGACTTAATGTATTGGTTCCCAAGTCCAGGGCTGCTGTTTAGAGCTCTTGCTTCTCTGCTCTATACCTCTGTAAATGACTGCCTACTGAATATTGAATATCTTCACCTGGTTTTACGTTTCACAGGCACTTTCAAAAAAGTGCAAAAGAAAACTCTTTTCTGCCTCTTTCTCCAAAACAGTTGTGCATGTGTGGGTGGGCAGGTACGCAGATGAAAGTGCAACAATTTTTTTTTCTTCCTCCTCATTTATTAATACCTTTATTAATACCTTCATGAAGCCTTTAAGAACTTTGTGAATCATCTTCCACTACATTCTGAGCCTCAACACTAACATTTACTTTGTTACTAAGTCTTGAACATTTGTTCTCATATTTCTGATCATTGGTTATTATCCTTCATTACTCTTTTGTTGTCTCTACTCTGTTTTAACTCAAAATGCCTGTTGTGCTTCTGTAATGCTTTCTAAGTGTTCTTGTTGACTTCTGTTCTCTGCATCCTTTTGTCATACTCTCTTTTCATTCTTTGCACTACCGCTAAAGTAAGTGTTCTAATATTCTTTTATTAGGCCCTTTCAGTTGCAAGGAAGAGAGAAGTTATCTTAAGTAATGGAATGCTTTTTTGAAGGAAACATACATGCCCAAGGGAACCTAGGAAAAGCCAAATAAATTTGTTTCAAGAAGAATGGAAACCTAATAAAGTTGTAAGCAGGAGAAGACAGATTTCACTTTATTTTTTTGTGGTGCTGGGGGTTGAACCCAGGGCCTTATGCATGCTAGGCAAGTGCTGTATCACTGAGCCATAGAGGCAGCCCTACATGTGCTCTTTTGTTGTCTAGCCTACTCTTTCTTTTTGGCTTAATCTTTCTCTCTCCTCCAATTTCCTCCTCCTCTATTTCATTGCTTCCATTTATTCCTAGTTTCTATTCCTTAAAACTTCTTTGTTGCTCCTGTGCCAACATCTTGCTTTCTGGCTGCTGTCCCCCCCCCCCCCTTTTTTTCCTTCCTTGCTGCTAACATTTTAACTTCAGCTCCTGAGCTAACTTCTTAGTTTTCTTAGGATTTTCTGGTTTAAATTCCCAAGAATCCATTTTTCTGGCTTAGCTCTTTTTCTCATTGGTTGCCAGCAGGCTTTCTGGACATGGATAATGTGACCACTCCTGGACACACAGTGTTGGCTGTGTGTTCATCTGGATGTGGGGCAGATCATAATGGTGAAAAGTATAGGGCTGTAAGCAGTCAGGCACTGTAATTGACATGTATAAATTTAATCAACCTTTCCAGTTGAAAGATCTTCAATGCTTTCTTATTGCTTTTAGGATACAGTTTAAAGAAGCATGGCATGTATATAAGGTCATTTATTTTTTGGTTTTTATTTTTTGTACCAGGGATTAAACCCAGGAGGTGCTTAAACACTGATCCACATCCCCGGCCCTTTTTATGTTTTATTTTGAGATAGGGTCTTGCTAAGTTGCCACAGAACCTGGCATAGGTCATTTATGATCTGACTCTTCTCTAGATTTTCTTTTCCTTTTGCCTCAAATTCTATGATGCACTTTAGATTTCCTGTCCTGTAAAGGGCTTTCTCTTGTCTTTACATTCAGCGATTCTTATCTTTTTCTTTGCTTGGCTAATGCTTGTCTGATCTTTAGGACTCAGTTCAGGTGTATGTTCTGTTTTTTGGTACCAGAAGTGCTTACCCTCTGAGCCACATCCTCAGCCCCTGCCCCACCCCCCACTTTATTTTGAGTCAGGGTCTCACTAAGTTGCTTAGGGCCTCACCCAGTTGCTGAGGTTGGCTTTGAACTTGTGATCCTCCTGCCTCAA